CCAACGTGCCTGCCTTCCGAGGACCCAATCAGAACTAACCCGTACGATATGGCATGCGCTGCCACACATCAAGAATGTGTCGGAAATGACCGAGCGCATTGCTGTGGGTCTAGGTGTCGGAATTGCGCATAGTCTCAAGGCTACCCTGCGCAGCCGGGACATGCGAATAAAGGCCTGAGTAAATCCCAGTGAGCAGTCGGGCGTAGTGTATCGCACACCATATATAAACTGTCCCCGAAATTACACCGGACGGACTGGACGCATGCTTAGTTCGCACATACACGAACATAATTTGGCTGTCGGACGGGGTGACGCATCGTCGCAAGTGGCTGCCCACACCTATGGGACGGGCTACGAATTTAACTTCGCAGCCGCCAGGATAATTGCTCACGCCGGCAACAAGACGGGAGGCGGAATAATTGAAGCCTGGTCCTCAGACGACAACTCAGTCAACCGATGTATTGAGTTAGCGCCAACGTACATCGCCCTCCGCATGCATATCCGCACGGCCGACATTGGTGATTACTGAGTTCACTCTCTACCACCTCGTCCACCCTATAACGGTTGCTTGGCCCCTGCCCCTATAACTGTTGCTGATTTTTCGTTGATGGTTTATCCCTGACGATGGACTCCCGCAAGAGCCCGAAAGCTCAGACGAATAAAATTATGATTCCGGTGATCGAAATGTCTTCTATATACACATACCTGGGATGCCAACATTTGCTTCAATTAGTGGTATAGCCTCTGTACCAAATATATAGTAATGCTTAATTTTGAAAGCGAATAATTTGTAAGACACTGTTTCCCCTTTTTGGCTTACAGTCAAACGCTGTGAACGTAAAGAAAGATCTATTATAAAACTTACAATAATAGTGTCGTGCTGGACTGAACGCAGATTGTGTTTCTTAGTGTCTACTCTGTCTCAACAGGTTCTGAGTGAGTTCTGTATATATCCGTTTCTGCTATTGTTTCTGAGGATAGATCCACGACGGATCTCGAAACGTCATGCAAATAAAATTCTTGTCCCAGCGACCACATCTGCTTCTTCTCAGTACAGTTGATTCCCTATCACATGAATCATCAACCAGAAATCTGGAATCGATTTTCGATTTCTTAGCGTGAAGCATAATCACACGATATTTCAATCACGCCAGGATGCCGTCTTTTAAACGACCTTCTTCCTTATCACCTGCAAAAAGCATACTCGGTAGAAAATGGCTACTTAAATGGTATGCATTTTTCTCACGGATTAACCCTGCCCTTATAGATTAAAATATATTTTATAGAAAACATGAACCAAAATATCCTTTCTTGTATTCATTGGGTAGAAAACTACGCCTTTGAAAACTTTGTATTTCAGGAGATGATAGATTTTCGCATTTAAATGTTTCAAATCATGAGACGTTTTAAAACTGTGAAATCTGCAGTCATAATATATCATATCTGTTAATCTATTAACGTTACCTATACAGTAGGGAACGTAGTCCGCATCCCTTGCAAAGTTTTATGAGCACTATACGACTTCTTTCGCGTAGGCAAATGTATTATCTATGTACAGCAAGTCGTCTGGAAACTTTGAATGCAAGTGTAACGGCCAGTAAATTTAAAGCATATTTGGCAGTTCTGAACGTTTTTTGATACGAAAATATTCCATTTCTTGAATTATTAAATTCTAGGATGGCGTACTTTGCGATCAAACGAGAACAATGTATACTATTTTTGTTTGTATTTTCCAGAAACTATATTCAATTTATGGGGGCATTTAAAATCCATGAAAAAATATATGCCATTTAAGTAACCATTTTTAGAGACTGCGCACTTTGCAGGTGGTCAGGAAGAAGCTTGTTCAAAAACCGCCATCTTGACACGACTGGAATATCTTAGGATTAGGTTAAGCACTCATCAATATCATCGGTTTGAAATTTTATACGGTATGAAATCTACCGTACCGACTAATATTAAAACCTTGCGGTAGGTAGAAAACTTCGTTTGTAGCTGTATTCTATCTAGGTAAAGCCAGGTACTCTATGCTGCCTTTGTAACCCTCAAGCAGTATCTCGGTCAAATTTACTATTTCTACGTGGTTCTATGACTTCAGACGATGATATTACTTAGAGTATGACGTGAACTCAAATCCGTTTACGTCTGATCGAATTATTCGAAGGTCATTACTCAAGTCTATCAGCGGATAGTCTCCGTGGGTGACTTTTGCTGAATTGTAAAGATTTGACTTCAGGTAGATTGAAGTCACTGTCATACTGGAAACTGAATTCGTTGTGTTGTCAACGAAATAACAGTTTCTTTTTCAGAAGCTTTACTTGGAATTACGCCATTACTCGAGAGTAATTAAAAGAAGATATTTGCATTCCAGTGATCAAGCATAAGTGCTAAGTACGATGATATTCACATGATCCTTTAGCAAGTTTCAGGAAATAGTGTCAGCAATTTAAATAATCTCCGAATGAAAACATAAATTACGGCGGCGATATATTTCATAGCGTAAAATGTTTCTGATATGTAGATTATTAACCCATTAAACTCAACCCATATTTAAGTGTGCCCTTGTGAGATTAAACATATATGTGGTATTTTTCATCTATTTTTCAGCAAATGAGTTATTTTTTGTAAAACCCATTATATCTGATTACCTTGCAGAAAAGTCATGCGGTGGCCTCCGTGAGTTGCTCCAAGGATAAAAATGTATGTTTTTCTCACTTTCTTAACTCCCTTGAACTTTAAATATATTGGCATGTAAAACCATCCTAGCAGGTGATTCCGTCTTAACGTTTGCTCAGACAGGAATGTACAGTACCAGAATCCTGTCCGGGAGGTCATTTGCCTTTGATCTGTAGCAAAATCGATTGACGGCGTCGCAAGCTTTCGCATCATCTTTTCCACCGGTACTCTCTTTGTGTACTTTGCCTGTAAATGCAATCCCACAAGTGAGGTACTATTTGTAACTTCTTGGAAGATGAGGGTGTACCTTACCAACGAATAGGCTTACAACTGATGACTCCAAACGCCACCATCCTGCAAAATTGACGGGAAGGAGTTTACTTGTGGGGTTGCTTTTACTGAGAGAATTACAGAAAAAAACGTTATCACTACATTTCGCTTAACAGTTTGCGGCCTTGTTAATTGACTGTCTTATAAATAAAAGGTAGACCATCGCTTAGACGGCGGGGTGATACCGTCTACTATCATCTGGACCTGCTATTAGAACAGGGCCGTGAAGTAGCACGGAAATGAGGCAATGAGATTGAAAAGTCAAAGTGTACATACAATTGTACCTGTGCATTTCCCACTCAAAATAGATAAATTTTGGTTACTTTCTGAAAGAACTACTCATCCTAGAGTTGATCAACGTCTAGTAAACCCATTATTACACACTGTTTGAAAACCTTAAGGCAACACACATTGGGCTTTGAACTCGCAAATACTGACTGCATGTTACAAAAGAAAATCGAAACTACCTGCATGAATTATCATAGATGATTAAGTAACCGGTTGCCAAACTAGTATAATGCGTGCAAACACCATTGTCCGTCTGTTTCTTTATTTCGTTTCCCGAACTACAGGATACCAACGTGTTTGGATCGTACACATCTACAACGCAAAAATCTAAGCAAGTAAGGCATCCATGACGATTTTCTCCCTCACACTTTCCAAAACATAGGTTATCTTTTTCTGCGTATTCATAACGTCTAACCAAAATTTGATTTCAGATACTCTTGCAGCTTCCGAAGTTTTCAGCGATACTCCTGAAACAAGTACAAATAGCTCTCGCACTCAGCTTTTAATGTTGGACCAACATTGAGTTCCAGGAAGCAGTTCAGAGGAAGATGCAAATGCATGCTCCCCTTCTGTATTGTGATCTATAGCTACACTCCTGACAGTTGAACCATGGGGTAGCAGAAGAAAAACAGCAAATCACCGGCCTGGACTTATGATTTGAACTCGCGAATACTGATTGCATGGTACAAAAAAAACTTGCAAATATTTGCATGAAGTTTCCTTTTTAGGATGTGGTTGACTGAGTGACTGGTTGCCAAACTACTTTAATTCGTGCAAACCCCATTGTACACAAATAAATCCGTCTGTGTCTTTATTTCTTTTCAGGGATCACAGGCTACCAACGAGTTTGGAGCCTACACGGCCACAACGCAGTGCTCTGATGAAGTAAGTCACCTATTACTACTTGCTCCTACACACCTCCCAAACGATATAGGCTATCTTGGCCTGTGTATTCAATAACACCTAACCAAAATTAGATTCCGGATCCTTTTGCAGATTCTGAGTGTTTTCTACAGACCCTACTGAAATACGTACAGACATTTCTCTCCATTAGCTTTTATTGTGGGAACAACATTGTATTATTTTGTTAGGAACGAATAGGCGAGTACCAGGGAGCAGTTCAGAAGAAGATGTGACTGCAAGATGCGATCACATGCTTTTCTTCGAAAGTGAGTTCTATAGCTGCACCCCTGACATTCGTATCATGGAGTAGGAGAATAAAAACAGCAAAAAACAGCCTGTGCTTTGAACTCGCATTTGTGTCGAGAGTATTGTATACTAATCTCAAGGTCAAAACATAATGCTGTTAAATTTAAAGGACTCAATACTACGCGGATTTCCACCGCGACTCATAGTATTTAAGTCGACTGTTTATACAAAGCTTTAGTCAGCTATGGCACATCTTGTGTGGGGGACTTTAATTCAAATTTATTTGGTAACTTCCGGTAAATTTACAAGGTGTCTGTAGCAAGCATATCTCTCTCTAGCCTTTTAGGTCTCCTGACCAGCATATTGGATCCTTATAGCAACCCACGGATAGTAATATCTATAAAGACTCTGAATGGGTAAACAATAAAATTCTTGAATTTAAACGTCTGGGTCTCATTAAGTAATATCCAAAGCACTTAAACCAATAATATATTTGCGTTTAACTAAGCAGCAGATGATACAAAATATTGTCCTCAACGTGATTTAGACTGAATGGAAAGTCGCGGAGAAAGTCCGTAAAATATTCTTCAGTGGTCTGTATTGGCGGTTCCGTCTTTTCAAAACAAGCGGCACTAGATCTTACGCATGCGACGAAAGACGGTGCAGGAGCCGCGGAAAATGCCGGATTCTGTGTCCTGGACTAGGACAGACAGATATCGATGACGAAAATGCTAGTGTTGAAGAACGTTTTCATACGCCGCCGATTGCTGTTTTTTTTGAATACCATTAAAATTATAGGGCTGATCTTAATGACACCAATGAGGAGGAAGCCCCATTAAGTATGTGCAATTTCGGTACAACTTTCGTACGGACGTTCATAATTGCATTAAAGCTGTTTAAACACGTCCAAATCTCATTAAATTTCAATCCAAATTCTGAAATTTGTTTTCTATTCGAACGAATTACTTAACTATGGTTGTAAGATTGACTGTCGTACAGCTTGATTTTAAGATACTTTAATCACCTCAGGATGCTTGTTTTGGACGATTTTCTTCTGACCGCCTTCAAAAATTATACCTTTTAAAAATGCCTATTTAGTCAGTATGCATGTCTCTTGTTGACTTTCTACGCCCCTAGAAATTCCTTCATATTTTTAAAAGTTTCCAATTTACGGCATACACTTTAATTTTACTAGCCGTTGCACTTGAATTCAAGGTTTCCAAACAACATTCAGTATGCACTCCACCTACTGAAAGCTACGCATTTCTCTATGCTCTGAGGGGGCGTTATATACTGCTCATAAGATTCTGCAATGCAGATAAAGTATATAATTCATGAGCAGCATTAATAAATGGACATGTATGATGCTTTAAGAATGAACATTTCACGCTCTTCAAAATCTCCTAAGTAGAGACTCTTCTTAAACCGAAGACTGCCAGGAAGCTTTTATGACGAACGGATAGATGAATACCAGGACTTTAGGAGGCCAGGTAGGACTAGACGTCCCTATAACAGGCTTGTGTTGAAGCCAAATCGCCGAACGTACGAGGTCAGCTTTCTAACACCGGGAGATGTTAGGACGGCACGAAACATGAGTCAACACTTTTGCCGTCCTGAGGTCAAGATGAAAAAAAATGCCCACAGGCGAAACGGCGCGTGCACATAGGGTCGCTACGTTGTATCACCCTGAGGACACCACATTATGGCCGCCCGAATAGACTTCTCGCGCGTGGACCCATAAGAAGAGACAAAGCAGAAATAGACTGCTTGCCCATAGGTACGAGGCTGCGGAAAGAAGGCGGATTCTGTTACCCACAAGAGAACGTGCTGCCGACATACAGGACAAGCTGCAGACGAGACGATTGCTGTCTATAGGGATGCTAAGAAGTTGAGGCACACGCGCAGACATAGAGGCTGTTGCAGTAAACTGTTCTCGACTACCCTGTCTGTCTTCTCTTTCCAACAGACAACTGGGAGACATAACAAAGACACAATTTATTTCGATAAAATTTTGTAGTGAGTATAATTTTCTGCAAAATGAGCACAAAGAAAGATAGTTCCGTGCGTGTTTTCTGGAGCCTTTATTTGCATTTACAAAGGCATTGTTGATCAAGGAGGAAACATCATACTATTCAGGAAGTCGTTTTATACAGAGCTTTGTTTTCGCAGGTGGCCAGAAATAAACTCTCTCAGAGGCCAGAATCCTGAAGTGAAACGTGTTTCTAGTTATTGGGTTTTAAAATAGTTGGTGTTAAAATAAAATTTATGTTTTATTTTCGAACAGAAAAGACACCTCAGAATCAGAAACGGGTCCGCTACCGTTTCTGCTACTGTTTTCCGCTAATGTCTCTGATGATGAATCCACGACGGATGTCGAAACGTCAGGCGAATGAACGTATTGTCTCAGCGATCGGGTCGTCTTCTTCTCACACTTCAGAATGTCAATTGGCATTTTAGGAGATAGCCAATCTACTGTTATCACTTCAGGCGGTACAGAGTTCTACATCTTGTAGATTTTGTTTTTCCAGGCACACGAACTGGTTTCGGTCGTAGAAGGCTTCGATGAAAATTTACTATTCATTGCATTTTTATTTCTTATTGCATAAATATTTCTTCCTTTGTACAGAAATCCTATAACGGCGAAGCAGTCGGTGGTACCGGGTCTGTCGAGGTATCAGGTCGTTACGATTTTACCGGTATCTGCCTATTCGAATTTACGGCAGGTAAGTCCGTATCCCCTCTTAACGCGGCTGCTCATTTACAAGTAGCATATATCTTGGCACTTTCAGCAAAACCCCGTGTTTAACTAACACTTCTGCAACAAATATAAGCATTCTCCCTAATTTCGATGATTAACATATTCCGAAAAACAAAATTGAATAAGGGACCACGGACGCTCGTTGATGAACTTTTTACCGATCGCTTACAGGGCCGACTCTTCCCGCTCTGCCTTTGGGCTCACTCACGAGCTCCTTCATCAGTCGCAGAGCAGCTACTTGTTTACGCAGATAAAAGTTGCTGGCATAGACAACAGGGATAGGAATGACCATTTCTGACTCATTAGCCGTCATCGGTCAGTCATACCCGACCCCAAGTGGTGCACCGCCCGAGGCTCGAAATCGGGACCTTGCTGACCAGAAAGCTAACGCTCTAACCATTGCGCGTTAACCACTGATAACTAACATATGTTGATTGCTGGACTTAACTAAGTCACTGACTCCTGACGTCAAACAGGAAGTAGACTGATTATCTCCTTGAAAAATCCAATCGATTTCTTCCAATTGTCAGCCCCTGACTTTCCTATAAGTTAAAGAAGACAACAGTAGCTTATGTGGCCTCACTCATTAATCCCTACAACCTGCATGTTTTCCTACGAAAACGGTTTTTTTTCGGGTTTTATGGGTAGGAAATTAGGACACGCAGTAGAATATACTTTAATAAATGCTAAATGCGTTTTCGTATTACTGTATTTAGAAGAGCTGTCGGTTTATATCTGTAGATTTTCCTAATCTGTATTATCATTTGACTTATTGTGGAAAAACACGATTATCAAACTGCAGGTTTCTTGAATTTCCCCAAAAATTGAAATGGTGGC